CCCCAAAACCCCAAAACCCCAAAACCCCAAAACCCCCTAGATGAAAATAACTATGACTTTGCTTAAAATTTATGTAGATATTAAGGTTGAAATGAAATTATCATCATTTATGATTTGATTGAGATCGATAATTCTAGAAGATTTCTATATTTTAGTAATCATTAGATCTTAACTAAAATTTTTCCCTCTGAAGCAACTCCAAGCTGAGCTTCGTATCCTTTTTCATAATCCTCAAGGTTAATCTCCATCACAATTTTTGATCCAAAGATCTTGCCTCCATCTCTCAAGTCATCTGAGATTCTTTTGAAAATCTCTTGCTTTTGCTCTGGAGTCTTTGAATTGAGATAAGTCAACGCATAGAAGGACTCTATTGTCTTGGCATTGAATAGAAGATTGGATTAATCTAAGATCATTTTTCCGCCTGTTAGGTTTCCTACAACCACGAGCTTTGACCTAGGTGGGAGTGCTGCAAATATTTTTCCTGCGAGTTCTCCTGCAACATACTCAAAGAATACTGTTGGCATAAGCTCCTTGACAAGAGGGAAGAAATCATCCCAGAAGGTAAGACTTTCAGAGTTCAAGACATGCTTTGCACCATGATTTTCTTTAAGGTCTGCAATTTGTTCATCTTTTCTGACAATGCTAAGCACTTCAATTCCATGTGTTCTAAAAAGTGCGATGCATTGTTTTCCTAATTGGGAGGCTGCAGCATTCTGAACAATAGCGGTAGCACCATGAGCTTAAGCTATTTCTAAGAGTCCAATAGCTGTAATGGGGTTTACACCAGCATTTGCAGCTTTAGAGAGATCTTATGAATCATCCAATAGAATGACATTGTCATGCTTCACTACTCTGTATTCAGACCATGCTTCAAGCATGAAAGCGCATTTCTTTCCGACTAAATCTTGGCTAACTCCATCGCCAACAGCTGTGATTGTTCCAGAACCATCGGAGCCAAGCTTCTCAGCTTTGAATAAATAGTATTGATATCTATCAATTGGGTTTAAAGTTGAGTAAGCAACTTTAATTAGGACTTCTCCAGATCCAGGCTGGGGGATGTCTTAAGTTACGAATTCGTAATGATCTGAAACGTATCTTAGTTGTTTGTATGTTTGACTCTCTACCATAACTGTGGGTGGGATTTTTAATTATAAAGATATTTCTTTGATAATATAAATAATTTAATTAGGATATATATCTTTTAAATTTTTGAGATTCTGCCTTTACGGGGTTTTGGGGTTTTGGGGTTTTGGGG